GTGTCTGCAAGCCGGGTGAGATGGTCTTGGTCTTGGGCAAGCCTGGATCGGGCTGCACCACGTTCCTCAAGACCATTGCCAACTGGCGCGCCGGCTACACCAGTGTTACTGGCGATGTGCTGTACGGGAAGTTTACAGCCGACGAGTTCAAGCAGTACCGAGGTGAGGCCGTCTACAACCAGGAGGACGATATCCACCACTCCACCCTCACCGTCGAGCAGACGCTGGGTTTCGCCCTCGACACCAAGGTTCCCGCCAAGCGCCCCGCTGGCATGTCCAAGAACGAGTTCAAGGAGCAGGTCATCTCCACCCTCCTGAAGATGTTCAACATCGAGCACACCCGCCACACTGTCGTCGGTGACGCTTTCGTGCGCGGTGTCTCTGGAGGAGAGAGAAAGCGTGTGTCGATCGCAGAAATGATGATCACCAACGCTTGCGTTCTCTCATGGGATAACAGCACCCGTGGTCTAGATGCCAGTACGGCGCTCGATTTTGTCAAGTCCCTCCGTGTCCAGACGAACTTGTACCAGACCACCACGTTTGTATCTCTGTACCAGGCCTCCGAGAACATCTACAACCTCTTCGACAAGGTCATGGTTATTGACGCCGGAAAGCAAGTCTACCTCGGCCCCGCCACCGAGGCCCGCGCCTACTTCGAAGGTCTCGGTTTCGCCCCTCGCCCCAGACAGACCACCCCCGACTACGTTACCGGATGCACCGACGACTTTGAGCGCGAGTACGCCCCCGGCCGTTCAGCCGAGAACGCGCCCCACAGCCCCGAGACCCTCGCTGAGGCTTTCAAGACTTCCAAGTTCCAGAAGCAGATCGATAGCGAGATGGAGGAGTACAAGGCGAGACTGGCCCAGGAGACGGAGAAGCACACCGACTTCCAGGTCGCCGTCAAGGAGGCCAAGCGCGGCTCTTCCAAGCGCTCCGTCTACGCTGTCGGTTTCCACCTGCAAGTCTACGCGCTCATGAAGCGCCAGTTCGTCCTGAAGCTCCAGGACCGTTTGTCTCTGTTCCTCTCCTGGTTCCGCTCCATCGTCATCGCCATCGTCCTCGGTACTCTCTTCTTCCGCCTCGGTTCGACTTCCGCCAGCGCCTTCAGCAAGGGTGGTCTCATGTTCATCTCGCTCCTCTTCAACGCCTTTGAAGCCTTCTCCGAGCTGGCGGGTATCATGACTGGACGTGCAATTGTGAATAAGCACAAGGCGTACGCTTTCCACCGTCCGTCGGCATTGTGGATCGCGCAAATCATTGTCGATCAAGCCTTTGCAGCAAGTCGAATCATGGTCTTTTCCATCATCGTCTACTTCATGTCTGGGCTTGTCCGCGAAGCTGGGGCATTCTTCACCTTCTACCTTATGATTCTCTCTGGAAACATCGCCATGACGCTCTTCTTCCGATGCATCGGCTCCATCAGCCCCGATTTCGATTACGCCATCAAGTTCGCCGTTGTCATCATTACCTTCTTCGTCACCACCTCTGGTTACCTCATTCAGTATCAGTCTGAGAAGGTTTGGATTCGCTGGATCTACTGGGTCAACGCTCTTGGTCTTGCTTTCAGTGCCATGATGGAGAATGAGTTCAGCCGTCTGAAACTCACCTGTTCAAGCGAGTCACTCATCCCCTCGGGCCCCGGCTATGGCGACATCAACCATCAGGTTTGCACGCTTGCTGGCTCCACCGCAGGAACCACGCTCGTCGATGGCTCAGCGTACATTGCTGCTGGATACAACTACATCAAGGGCGATCTGTGGCGCAACTGGGGTATCATCCTGGCTCTCATCGTCTTCTTCCTCCTCATGAACGTCACCCTCGGTGAACTCATCAACTTTGGGAACGATGGCAGCTCGGCCAAGGTCTACCAAAAGCCCAACGCGGAGCGCAAGAAGCTCAACGAGGCATTGATGGAGAAGAAGGCAGCCAAGCGCCGCGGCGACAAGCAGGAAGGCTCTGACTTAAGCATCAACTCGGAAGCCGTCTTGACCTGGGAGGACCTCAACTACGATGTTCCTGTCGCCGGTGGAACCCGTCGCCTGCTCAACAATGTCTACGGATACGTCAAGCCCGGCCAACTCACGGCTTTGATGGGTGCTTCCGGTGCCGGCAAGACCACTCTCCTCGATGTACTCGCGTCTCGTAAGAACATTGGTGTCATCCACGGTGACGTCCTCGTCGACGGCATCAAGCCCGGAAAGCAGTTCCAACGCAGTACCTCGTACGCCGAGCAGCTCGATCTCCACGACCCGACCCAGACCGTCCGCGAGGCCCTCCGCTTCTCCGCCCTTCTTCGCCAGCCTTACGAGACCCCCATTCCCGAGCGCTACGAATACGTCGAGGAGATTATTGCCCTGTTGGAAATGGAGCATATTGCCGACTGCATCATTGGCTCCCCCGAGTTCGGTCTGACCGTCGAGCAGCGCAAGCGTGTTACGATCGGTGTCGAACTGGCCGCCAAGCCTGAGCTCCTTCTTTTCCTTGACGAACCCACCTCCGGTCTCGATAGTCAGAGCGCCTTCAACATTGTCCGTTTCCTCAAGAAGCTGGCCGCCGCCGGACAGGCCATTCTCTGCACCATTCATCAGCCCAACGCCGCCCTGTTCGAGAACTTTGACCGTCTTCTGCTCCTCCAGAGAGGTGGCCGCACCGTGTACTTTGGTGATATCGGCCAGGACGCTGTCGTTCTGCGAGACTACCTCAAGCGCCACGGCGCCATCGCCAAGCCCACCGACAACGTCGCTGAGTACATGCTCGAGGCCATCGGAGCCGGATCCGCGCCCCGTGTCGGAAACAAGGACTGGGCCGACATCTGGGACGACAGCGCCGAGCTCGCCAACGTCAAGGACACTATCGGCCAGCTCAAGGAGCAGCGCATGGCCGCCGGCCGGACCGTCAACCACGACCTGGAGAAGGAGTACGCCAGCCCGCAGTTGCACCAGCTCAAGGTCGTCGTGAACCGCATGAACATCAGCTTCTGGCGCAGCCCCAACTACCTCTTCACCCGCCTCTTCAACCACGTCGTCGTCGCCCTCATCACCGGTCTCACCTACCTTCAACTCGACGGCAGCCGCAGCTCGCTCCAGTACAAGGTCTTCGTCATGTTCCAGGTCACTGTTCTGCCGGCCCTCATCATCAGCCAGGTCGAGGTCATGTTCCACATCAAGCGCGCCCTCTTCTTCCGCGAGAGCTCCTCAAAGATGTACAACCCCCTCACATTCGCCGCCGCAATCACCATTGCCGAGCTTCCCTACTCCATCATGTGCTCCGTCGGCTTCTTCCTTCCGCTCTACTACATGCCAGGATTCCAGTTCGACTCCTCCCGCGCGGGCTACCAGTTCTTCATGATCCTCATTACCGAGCTCTTCTCCGTCTCCCTCGGCCAGGCCTTGGCGTCACTGACGCCCAGCCCCTTCATCTCCTCGCAGTTCGATCCCTTCATCATGATCACCTTTGCCCTCTTCTGCGGTGTCACCATCCCCGCCCCGCAGATGCCTGGCTTCTGGCGCGCCTGGCTCTACCAGCTCGACCCCTTTACGCGTCTCATTGGCGGTATGGTCGTCACCGCGCTACACGACCTCAAGGTTGCCTGCTCCTCGGTCGAGTTCAACCCCTTCACCGCGCCGCCGGGTCAGACGTGCGGCGAGTACATGCAGCCCTTCTTCGACAATGGTGGCCCGGGATACCTGGCCAACAACGATACGTCGAGCTGCGAGTACTGCGCGTACAAGGTCGGCGACGAGTTCTACACGCCTCTGGGGCTCAACTTTGATAACCGCTGGAGGGACCTCGGTATCTTTTTGGCCTTTGTTGGCAGCAACTTGATTATCCTTTTCATGGCGGTAAGCATCCCCCACTTCAGTCCCCTAATGGATGATTCAAGCAGTTACTAACGTATTCAACAGAGCAAGTTCCTCAACTTCAACCGCAGATAATCATACCCACCCCCAAGCCCGCTTCGCAACGCGATTCGCATCCTGCTTTTCCACTTTCCTACTGTCAGTTGATTTAACAGCATCAGCATCGTCATCACCCGATAGGTTCCCAACTCGGCCGCGTCTTTTCAACAGGCCAAGAACTATGTTTTGTCCAAAATGGAGTCTTTTGGTTTTGGGAATATCGACACCAAAATTTTCGGGAGGGTTTTGCGAATTCATATGAGAAGATAGAGGAAGCCTTCATTGCGCACAGTACACACATCACATATCGAGCCATGAGATAGCATGGTTTTTTGTCAAGAGCTGCGAGATGTACACACGCACATCACACCCTAGCATAGAGCTTTTTACGTAATTTAATAGACACGGCCAAGAGACTGTATGTATGAATTGAAAATGAGAGCCTTTGTGAGAATTGATGCGTTGAAGGTTGAAGGTTTAAGATTGAAGAAGACTTTTTTCTGAGATTTGAAGTGTGAAGACTGCTGGTTTTTTATGAAGCCACTCATTGCGATTATGAGGAAATCGCCAATATACCCCAAAAACCATTTCGATCCTCCAGGGTTGATGGGTAAAGAGGAAGGAGACGAAAACATCTACAACCTCCGCCGGAATTCCTCTTAGCTCGACAGTATACTGAGGTAATCTCCTGACCGAACCGCTCATGGTTCGAGAAGCTATTCCGTTACCCCAACCCGAGACTCTGATAGCCCACACACCCATGTACCTTGATTCGTTCCTCGAAACTTGACACCCCCTCCCCGCACTCTCGTCGGGAACCCCGCCGCCGGCACCACAGAGATAGACCCCACTATCGGTCGACAGTCCTCCGCCAGCACCCCACCGCCGCACGGCGTCCTGTCACCCCCTCCTCCGGCGAACGACTTCATTGAAAACCCCGTCCGTACCGAACTTACTCTAGACTTCGGCATCTACAACCGTCCTACAATTCCTCATCATAGAATCCTTTTCAAATCAATTTCCGCAGCTCGTTCACTGCCTTCAATCGCCTCATTCAACCATCCACACGAGACTTACACTCAACCCGTTCCACCACTTAAAATGGCAGAACAACCCCCCCGCGCAGACCTCACAAAACGCCAAATCCCCTTCATGACCCTCGCATCAGGCGACACCGCCACGCTCCCAGGCGGACCCGCCCGCACCGCCTCCGCGTCCGACACACCGGAATCCCGCTTCGCCCTCCCGGGCACAGCAGTCCTGACAGGCGGCACCGGCGCCATCGCCCACGCCGTCGCGCGCGCGATGCTCCAGCACGGGCTGACGGGCCTCATGCTCCTCGACCTAGACGTCTCCTCCCCCGCCGCGGAGACGCAGATCGCGTCTCTGAGGACCGAGTTCCCGGCGACCAAGATCCTTGCCAGGAGCGTGGATGTCACGGATGAAGGGGCCGTCAAGGAAGCCATGGAGGTCGCGGCGAGCGAGTTGGACGGGATCGATTACTTGGTTTGTTTCGCGGGGGTGGTGGGCTGCCACCACGCGCTCGAGATGTCGGCCTCGCAGTTCCGGAGGATACTGGACGTCAACACCACGGGCGCCTTCATCTGCGCGCAGGCCGCCGCGCGCATCTTCGTGAAGCAGGACCGCGGGGGACGGATCGTGTTCACGGCGAGTATCTCCGCGCACAGGGTGAATTTCCCGCAGCCGCAGGCTGGGTATAATACGAGCAAGGGCGCGCTGCTGCAGTTGAAGAGTAGTCTGGCGGCGGAGTGGGCGCGGTACGGGATCACGGTGAATAGTGTGAGTCCGGGGTACATGGACACGGTGTTGAACGAGGGGGAGGGGTTGAGGGAGGCGAGGGAGGTGTGGGCGGGGAGGAACCCGACGGGCAGGATGGGGTTGCCGGAGGAGTTGGGGGGTGTCGTGGTGATGTTGTGTAGTCGGGCGGGGAGTTATTTTAATGGGAGTGATTTGGTTGTTGATGGGGGCGGTGTTGTGTTTTAGATGGGGGTATGGGGATGACAGATTTTGTGTAGAGGGCTGGGGGGTGTGGGAAGAGGGAAGGGTTAGATAGGTTAGAGGAAGATCTGCTAGAGTGCTAGACGCATTGAATCATGTTATTGAATGATTAGCATCCGGCTGCTTGAAGAGATGGGCTAAAGAGTCTCGAAGGTTGCTTCTGAGGAGGGATCGTCACGGAATCATGAGCCTCGTTGAGTGCTTGAAACGTTTGACAACCCAATAAGAGCTCGATGTCAATCCTTTTCCTCACTTTGAGAGCCATGCGCCCTGTACCCCTTCACTTCCATCTCTTGGGCGAGATTCATTCGCTTGTCGTAAATCGGCGGTGGTGCCGTCATATGTCATCCCTTTTTCTCATCGGTGACTTCTCTTTGGTAAGTATGTTGAGGCCGAGATACGGTAGCCTGAAACGCCATCAGGAGTCGTTGAATTGCCGGGCTAGACGCAGGAGAAACGCATCCAGACGAACAGGTCCCAAGCACGTATCGAGTATGGACTGACAGGAGTGGCTATGGCTCCTGTTCGAAAAAAACATTCGGCATCAAAGCTCGTTTTAGACAACGAAGCTTTGTTGAAGCTTCTTGGTTTACATGGTCCAGAGTATATACGGCGATGAAGGCGCATCCTGGATCAGATGCATGCAGAACAGGGAAAGGTAGCTGTGATTTGGGAGACATGGAGAGATCTATAATCAGAGGTCACACTTAACCTGATTTTGTTGACAAGGACTCCAAGCTTTCCGGGGGTCGGGAGCTGATGTTCTTCAACAGTTGGGACACTAACATGACGCTTGCGATGGTCCAGTGAGATATCATGGGCAGAAAGGCTACTTATAGTACTAGAAATCACAAGACGAACGGCTTCGCGGAGTCTAGGCCCTGCCTCCTATCCTCAGGATCCTCGGGTATCTACCAGCGTAGTTGGGTATTCCACATAAGGGTGCTGAGTGACGCCACCTACCGTGGAGCAATGTTCTCTTGGGACACTATGGGTGTGGCAAGCATGATTGAGTGTGTCTTTGGTCCTCCTGAGTTGTCGACTGCCTGAGGTAGGTGAAGCAAGATCAAATTGGCTGGCGTGAGGCTTCTGCCCTTCTTCAAGCCGTTCGGGCTGTGTAGGACGCATTGCTTAGAGACATGGTACAACTTGAAATGATTTACTCATATGGATTTTGACCAAGATGACAGACATTTTCCACATACTGTGATAATCAACGAAGCCAGTCTAATGCATTGGGGAGGAGGCTTACATTGAGGTTGAGCAGCTCACCTGTTAAAGACGATGACTGACAGTTCACGCTCACCTTGACTGTGCGGACATCCTTGCCTTGAACACCAAAGATCGCCTGGTAGGGCCTTTTCATCCAGGTCTGCCTGGTATTGTTGGGGGTGAACCTTTGAACCAGAACTTAAGAAAGTCTATGGCTTTCAGCTATCTTATTACTATCCGAGTGAATTTGCTCTTCGCCTGAATTCCAGCCTGCAGGACCTGACAAAAGACGAAAACAGAAATTTGGATGCAATCGGCGATAAGAAGATAAGACGTCACCACCCTCCCCACCACCCACCCTCCTGCGACCGCCGTCACGTGCACGCTAGCGTTATCGATAGTCACAGGGCAGGAATTCGTGACCTTGACGTCGACCGCCCGAATTTTCTCAATCGCTTAAGCTTCTCAACGCGTCAACACCAGGATCCACTGCACAACGCGCGCGCCCACGATGAGCTCATACAGACCATACCCGCCTCAGGGCAATGCTAGGGACGACCGCAATCGCGGTCGTTACGATTCCCGTTCTTCACATCATCAGCCGCCGCCACCTGGAGCAGGCGACAATTGGCGCAACCCGTGGCCCGAAGACCGTGAGTACAGCCACCTCTCAAGATCGCAATTTCCACCGCGGCATTTCGACCATTTTGGTGCTAACAAATGATGCAATGATATAGGCCGAAGATCAGGAGGCTACGATGGCTACAGACCCGATAACCGGCCGCCTCAGGGCGACTTCACCTTCCGGATGGATAAGCCCTCTGGCGTTGGCAGCACCTCCAGAGGAGACTCGTACCGCCCCGGCGCATATCAGGGCAACGATAGAAGAAGGGCCCCACGCGCTCGGGGAGGATTGTTTCGTGGTCGCGGTAGGGGCGGGTACCAGAAGATCATCCCGGCCGAGCGCGAGCTCTTGCGCACCCGCCGCGATGGAGTCGACGAGAACCTAGTCAACGAGGAGGGCGCCGGTGTAGTATACCGCGACATCAATGACCTTTCAGACGATGAAGAGGCCGATATGGAGATCTCGGACAACTCCGACGACGACGAGGAGGAATCTGGTGAGCCTTCTAGCAAGCGTGCCCGCCGCGCTGGCAACGACGAATCGGGCAACAGCGTCCCGAAATGGTCGAACCCAGACCCGTACACCGCCCTGCCCCCGCCTGATGCAGCGGAACGCAAGAAGAAGGACATGGTCAAGATGATTCGGAAGGCACGAGTCGACGAGACAGCCGCAGACAAGCTCAAGGCCAGCGCAGAAGCCGAGGAGTTCATTTCCTTCGACTTTGACGAGCCCAACGACGAGGAAGAGATCATTCTTCCTCCTTCTGAGCCACCCTCGCCTCCCCCTCCCCCTCCTCCTGGCCCTGCGCCTCCTCTGCAGTCCTCATCTGTCGCCTCGAGAATCGCACCCAGCGGTCCTCGTTCCGACCGTCCACTTGCTATTAACGGATCAGCAGCGTCGACAGCGCCATCCACGCCTGGCAAGCCTTCAACTCTGCCGCCTAGGCCCGTTGCATCCAACGACGCTCTCGGCTCCCGGAAGCGCACTGTCGACGATCACATCAAGCCTCCTACCTACGCTCCGCTCAAGAAAGTCAATAAAATGCCTGTGGGTGGTGCCATCTTGTCTGAGTGGAAGGTGACCAAAGGCGAGGATCCCACGCCCTGGATCGATGCCGACCATTCCAAGACCTCGGACATCAGTGTTTGGTGAGTTGTGGCAGCGTTTAATCGGACGTAGTGTCTAACCGGGATAGGCTCCACAAGGAGATTGTCGACTTCTACGAGGTCGTACGCCCTCGCGACTTTGAGCACGAAATGCGCACACGGCTTGTCGAACGAATTCGCTCAGCGCTCAAAACTAATCGCTTCTATAAGGAATGCGATGTTCGCCCTTTTGGCTCATACATGTCTGGCCTCTACTTACCCACAGCTGATATGGACTTGGTCATCTGTGAGAGAAGTTGGCTCAATGGTGCACATTCCAACTTTTTCGGAATCAAGGCTCTGCGGAGCTTTGGCAAGTTCCTTTCGTCCAAGCGTCTGACCCATTACAACAGCATGGAGTTCATCGCAGGCGCCAAAGTCCCGCTCGTCAAGTACATTGACACCGAGACTGGCCTTCGGGTGGACATCTCCTTCGATCGCCTTGACGGTCCCCAGGCCGTCAAGACATTTATTGAGTGGAAGAAGCAGTATCCAGCCATGCCAATTATCGTCACAATGGTCAAGCACTTTTTGGCGATGCGCGGTTTGAACGAGCCTGTCAACGGCGGTATCGGTAGCTTCACTGTAACCTGCATGGTCGTCAGCATGCTGCAGCTCATGCCCTCTGTGCAAAGTCGCAACCTTACCCCTGATCACCACCTTGGACAGATGCTCATGGAGTTCTTCGATCTCTACGGAAATAGGTTTGACTATGTCAACACGGCAATCCGGCTGAATCCTCCAGGTTATGTTCACAAGGTAAGTTCATATTGGTGACCTTGTTGAGTACGTTCACTAATGCTCTCACCGCAGCATCGAGTTCAAGACGTCGTCTACAAGAACTTTGATCGCATTTCCGTCATTGATCCCAATAACCCGGCAAATGATATCTCTGGTGGCTCAAGCAACGCTGGGCGAATTCTAGAAGAGTTCAGCATTGCACATCAGATGCTGAAGAAGAGAATGGTGCAGCTTGCCCAAGCCGGTCCACGCGCCGATGGACCTGCCAGCATACTCGAGACTATCTACGCTGGTAACTACTCTTCATTCCGTCACCAACGCGCGCACCTGCGCCAGCTGTACGACTCAAGATGAGATCCCAGCTCTTGTTGCGAGTCGCAATTCGAAAAGCATCGTTCCAACTGTTGATACAGGAAGGATGGGGGTTTCATGATATGTCGGAAGGGAAGCGAATCATCAGGCTACAGGAATCTTTTGCGCTGCATTGTTTAGACGGGCGGGGCCCAAGCACCCCAGTTTGGAGACGGAGTCAAGGAGAGGCGGCTGTTTCTTTCTCACGATACCCACCCCCATATCCTGGTTGGCTTGACTTCTCGAGTCAAGTCTATTTTTTTTCTCTCGAAGTTTTCCCCTTTCTCCATCTTTTTTATTTTCTCTATTGTTTCGTCTCTCTTCGAAGCAAAGTTGTATGATAACGGCAGCTGGTTGGCTGCGACGAGGGGGTGTCGACGAGGATCGACTGTCACAGGACCGGTCCTTTTCTGCGCAAACACGTCCTGGTGGCGTGTTCTTACCCCTTTCCCTGCTGGCCAGCTACCCAACGAAGCATTTGGGCCCAGCCCTAGTGGGCTCAACAATGAACAAGGACTTTTTCTACTACTTCTACTTGGCAGTGCTACCGTTCCTCCTGGGAAGCGGGAAGCGGGAAGCCTCTGCTCACTTGGCACTACTACGCTGGGCCTGCGTGGCCCGGCGACTTGCTGACGATTTCACAGATGGCAGGACCTCCTGGCAAGCTTCCTCGCGGGGGCTTGCACAGGTGGGGGTGTGAGCGATGAGGCAGATCTTCTTACGAGAATCTGGCACGAGGACTCGCAAGCAGACAAACAACAAACAACTCTGGCCGACGCTCTTTGGAGTTTGTCGGCCTCTTTTCTCACTGCATTTTCTGTGCCTTTGCGCATGGGTGTGGAGAGGAAGAAGTCATACCAAGAGCACATGGGTCCGGTGCAGCCTCTGCTGCCACTGGCATGCCCGAGGGTTTAGCCCAACGAAGGAGGGAAGTCCTGGACAGACTCCTCAGCCGACGAAACGGCTTACATAGCCAGAGAGTCATTGCCCTTGCAGCCTTGTAACTGAAGTCCATGCCTTCTAGAGTTTCCAGGCATTTACTCATTGAAGCACCCATACTTGAACACGCCCTTGTTTGCGTTTGGCGTCTCACCAGTATTGGGGTCACTTCATTGATATCACCGCATGCTGTCTAGTTCAACATTATGACCTTGCTGTTTCCGGAGGGCAAGTTTTCGCGGGTAGTGGAAGAACTTGTAAGAATATGGAAGAGGACTACCACGGTAACGAACGCCAAGGGGTCAAATAAGCATGCAAAGGATATCACTTGTAGCGAAGGAGCCTTGTTAGATGACGCTGTCGGGTCTCTTGTTCCATCGAAATCTTGTTAGCGATGCAGCTTCTGAGCCCATAGGCAGTGGGCTTGGACAAGGTGCTGGTGCTTCTGCAGCCCGGGTTGGGAACCGAGGGTGCGTTCCTAGATGAAAGAACGGATGGCTGGAAAGCCCATGCGACTCTGGGGCCAGGGTCAAGCTACCCGATGCTTGGGATTTCCGACCTTCTGGCAGAGCCAAGCAAGGTGTGCACCATCTACGTTCGATCGAAGCTTTTCGGTCCGTATGTAGTTCGTCCGGGATCCGAATACAATCACAGGATACGGACTGATGTCCAGCTCGTCGGCCACAAATTGCCGACCAAAGCAGCAAAAGGAGATCAGTCAGTTCGGTCAATATGAAACCCCGCATCGGGGTAACGTTGCAGTCTCGTCTTGCTGTCGAGGAGTTGCGGGGGACCATTGGAGGATTTGCTCGTTCGGTATCTTGTCTGGAGGGCGTACTCCGTACAGAGTTAGATGCAGCAGTTGGGCGTGCCGATCTCCGTAGAAGGAGCAGCAAATGACCGGTAGAACGGTGGTAGACGGGGCCCTTCTTCGGGGAGTCTGCGGTGTAATACCTAGATGCGCTAGGCGAATCATCAATTCGGAGCCCCCAAATGGAAAGGGATTATGAAATGCCGTAACCTCTTGGTACCTAATGTTGAGGACGTGTTGCCGCCGGAACAAGAAGAAAAACCCTTCCGTAGCTTTGAACGTGCCAAGATACAAGGGCAGGAAAATGTGAAATTTCTGAAATATCAGGTGCAAGGCCGAGGGGTGATGAACGTGCGATTGATGAGAAGCGATCCATTCAAGGCACACGCATCGCAGCAGCGGGCAAGGGCCCCAGTGTCTTTTCTGGGCCTCGCGGAGTGGTGGCCGGGCCAAGTAGGCGCTAAGCAGTGGCCAAGATGTTAAATTGGTGGAGATGCCTTAGGTAAGGTCGCCAAAGAGACAACGTTGGTAGATGGACCTCTGGTAAGACTGCGAGAAAGCGAGGTTGGATGATTTTGTCTTGTCATATTTCAACTGACAGACGGTCGAATTTACCGTGGCATGGAACGAGGCTTCAAGATTGCGTGTGCCTTGGTCAGTCTCTGCACCATCATCGGGGCCGGCGATGAATAGACACGGGTTCTGGGAGAGGGAGGAATCGACTATGGCGAATGTACTGTAATTACTGGTCGTCTTGGCGGAGAACGTTGACCGGTTGGCACATTGGGTTGCCCGTGTCGGAGAAGTGGTCCGAGAATTGGCCCGCAAAACAAGGACGGGACCAAGCTTGAAAGCCCGCAGCTCGGGAGCCATTCCCCCGCAAGCAGACGGCTTGCTAGTAAGCTTGAATGCGAAAATGAGAGGAGCCAAAATTGCTTGAGCACACCGAAGCCTTGTCAGGTCGGCAAAGGAGTGGTTTGGAGGCCGTCGCATGGCGAGGTCCGCATATGTGCTGGAAGGGCACGTCGCTGTATCATCGGCGGGACTTTAGAGGCTAGAGTGCTTGTTGAAACTATGATGATTGCGGATGGTCGGACGAGGAAACCGCGAGATACTTGCTGGGGACAGAGGGCCGAAAGAGAAGGATTCGAATCGATCGTGGCGAGACAGAGGCGTGGCGTTCGGACGAGGTAACCTGTGCAGTAGTCGAGGCACAAGACCAGAAATGGCGGAAGCAACGAGACGGCATTGCTCACTGGAGATGCTGGCAATGTCATCTGGTTGGAGGTGCTGGTAACGGGCTGTTGGACGGACATCTGGCCCGGTCTGAGACGGGAGTCGGATTGGAGCACTGGAGTCTGTAGGTAAGATGATGCGGGTGGCTTGACGAAGGGGACAAATAAGGTGGTGTCGAAGTCACCCTACCGGCATAAGTTCATGTTGTTGGAAAGAAAGAACTGGCCGCTCGTGCCTTCTCTCAACCAATTGCATTGCAAGTTTCTCAACCTTTGGGAGGAAGGATCAATGGGGTGAGGAGGTTGTGGTGCTACCCGTAGCTGCCTCGAGGGAAGTGTGAGGTGAGGCCGGGGAAGAAGGAGCCAGGATGGATCCTTCCCATGTTGGGGGTGTGGGGCGAGGGAAGGAATTGGGGTCGACGGGGGAAAGAGCTGTCTGGTAATTGGAGAGAGCTCTCCTGCTGTGCCTGCCTCGACTTCGCTTTCGTGTCGCATTGTCCCGTGATGATCAAAAACTGCAAAAACTTTTCCGACAGCCAAGGCTCTGAACTTTCGGTGAGTTTGTTATTTGTAACGTAGAGTGGGAGAAACCAAATGAGCTTCGGTACCTTGGGTATGGATACCTCATCTCCTCTGCAGCTGGAACAATAGAAAGCTTCCCATGTGGGCTTTTACGAGTTTTCCGCCGGTTCTCCGTCTGTTCTCCATACTTAGGTTCACTTAGCAGGATACTTCCCTTCCCGGCTCTTTTTCATGTGTCCCTTGGGAAGGGTCCAGCAGCCTACGGATAGTTGAAAACACCTAGACGTCAGATTTTGTGGCCCGAATTCGGACTCTTTGTCTACCGTCCGGCATCTAGGTACTTGCCAGATGCATACTCGCGGGTAAGGTAGGCAACTTTCGTCAGATGGCCGAGGCGACTCTGTATCGCCAAGCTTGCCCCAAGCCTGTCTTCGTCGGAGCAGCAGCCGAAAAGGCACCAAGGCATCAACCACCCTGGCGCTGAGTGATGACATCTGGATCAAATCGCCTTGGCATGCTGCAAATCCGCCTACCTTAGCTACCAGGGATAGCGCCCAACTTTTGTCCAGCCTTTTCCTACATGTTCGGTATCAAGTTAAGGATACCTTACCAGGTGTCCACTGTAGGTAGTTACCTTCGGTAGGTAAGGCAGTCGTTTCGCCCTTGCCGTGATATGACTGGCCAGCATTAGAGTTGCGTGTTTGGCCTTTATTTCCATCGTGATCCACCATCCAAGTCGGGTGCGGGGGAGATGGGCCGCTTAGATTGGTCCGTCAATTGGGAGGAGGAACGTCGGGAGGTGGTCCACCGTTCTTGACCCGCCCGGGGCAGACAGCGGGCAGGGGTCCGGACGGAAAAGACACACGGGCGATGAGGGAGGGAAAGGGCGAATGAACCATGTGTTTCTCCTTCCCATCCGTTTGACACTGGACTAGGTACCTGCGGTACGTATTGAAATCGATGACCTGCTCCAGGTACCTTACCGTACGGATATCTCCTGCCTTGCGTACCTCACTTAAGGTATCATTGACCAAGTTTAGCCTGCTTCCATGTGTCGGTCCATTTTTGTACAGTTCTCGGTTGCTATGAACTCATGACTAGAAAACTGACAGTATGGCACCAGTGTCAGGAAACCCGACAACAGCCCAGATGTGACATGTCCATCCATGTCCACGGCCCACATCACCAAGGTTCTCAGTTATGATAGTCGACTGCGTAAGAGAGAGCTCAGGCAATAGAGACGAGTAGCCAGGCAAGGCAGACCAGCAGACAGACAGATGAACAGCTCGACTGTACACCAAGTTCCTGGTCTGCACAATTCTGCAGCAATATACCTGGCTGTAGCAATATGGTACTTGGAACTTGGACACACCAGTGTCACCACCGACACGAGCACAGCATGAGACGTGCAACGCAACGACACCTCTACCGCCCGTGTGGCATTCGGAATCTCGCCCAGCTTTCTCGTCTGAGCCTCCCACGCTGCTCGCCTGGTATCATCGCCAATCATCCAATCTCGCCAGCCACTCACAGCTGCCGATTCCTCCCATCCTGAGTTAACTCTCCTCTTCTCCGCATTTTGTCTCCCACACACCACACATCTGCTCACGCACTCTGGATGATCAATGGTACCCTGGGAGCTCCTGATTTTCCATACTCCAATGTGCCTCATTTGGTCACCTTTTCTTGAGCTCCCCAACTAAGGCACGGAGTACTTTATGCAGGCATGCGATTCCTACCCAGTCACTCCTCGGCCTCACCATCTCAACCAACGACCTGGCAACGGCCCAGACACCTGTGCCTTCGCCATGCTCGCCCACTTGTCCTACCTGTCACACAATGGCCCTATCGCCCTTCGAGGAACTGATCGTCCGTACCCTTCAATGCTCCTCCGCGCCTGCTTCTACCCATGACCCCATCGTGTTCCACGGGATGGGCAGCCCTCCACATCAACCTTGTCAACCCCATGTGCCAACGTTTGCATTCGGTCCGTCCTGTCTCCCCAGACAAGGTCCCCCTTTGATCAACTCGACCGGTAGCCCAATGTCATTCGACACAGCAACTCGGTACGACGGTGGGCCGTGTCGTTACCCATCCTACGACTCGGGTACTATACACACGAGGCAACCGCGGCCACCCCCGAACCGCGTCCAGATGTACCGCAGGCAAACAACCACCGAGCCTCCCCGTTTACTTTAAGTTTCGGTCGCGCCCACCTACAAGCCAATTCACGAGCCATGAGAGACCTACTCCGCTGACGCATACATACGACATTCCACCTTCACCTCGTCCCACCTAGACAGACGACTCACCTCATTGTAACTGAACACAACTACAGAAATCGTCGCCTTCGTGCGAACACCGCCATCATGTATCAGGCGCAAAATATCTACTTCATTTGCGGTTTCGCCGCCATTGGTACGTGATTCTGCCTTGAGTTCTCGCCTGGCCTTACACCTTGAAGATCATACTGACGAAAGCTCAGGCGGTGGCCTATTCGGCTTTGATATCAGTTCCATGAGTGGTGTTCTAGGGACTGGAGCCTACAAGAGATACTTTGGGAATCCTACATCATACCGCCAGGGTGGTATTACGGCTTCCATGCCTGCCGGCTCCCTCGTCGGATCTCTCGTCTCTTCCTTCATTGCCGACAAGTACTCTCGCAAGGTCGCTCTCCAATTCTCCTGTATTCTGTGGACCATCGGTGCCATCCTTCAATGCGCTTCCGTCAACGTCGGCATGCTTTGTGTCGGCCGTGTCATCGCGGGCATGTGTGTCGGTATCGCATCCTCCATTGTGCCCGTCTACCAGTCCGAAATCGCCCCCAAGGAGATCCGTGGTCGCGTTGTTTCGCTCCAGCAGTGGGCAATTACCTGGGGTATCTTGATTCAATACTTCATCCAGTACGGCGCCGCCGAGGGCATTGGAAAAGGCTCCACTGATCCCGATCAGCCGACCGCCGCTTTCCGCATTCCTTGGGGCGTCCAGATTGTCCCTGCCGCTGTCCTCTTTGTTGGATTATTCTTCTTTCCTTACAGTCCTCGTTGGCTTGCTAGCAAGGACCGTTGGGATGAAGCCATTAAGGTCCTCGCTCATCTTCACGGCAGCGGCGACGTCAACCACCCCAAAGTCCTGGCACAGTACCAAGAAATCGAGGAGGCCCTTCGATTCGAGCGAGAAGAGAACATTTCTAGCTTCAAAGGTCTCGTCGCTCCCCGCATGTACAAGCGTGTGTTGCTCGGCATGAGTATCCAGATGTGGTCCCAGTTGTGCGGAATGAACATCATGATGTGTAAGCAACGACCTTCCAATTGCAAGTGTGAACGACAAGTTGCTGATTTGATCCAGACTACATTGTCTACATCATGCAGGGTGCCGGCATAGGCAACCCGCTACTTACTGCATCTATCCAGTATATCATCAACGTCGTCATGACTCTTCCTGCCATCGTCTTTATCGACAAGCTCGGCCGTCGTCCCTTGCTCGTCGGCGGCTCTTTTATGATGATGACCTGGCTGTTCATTTCTGGCGCACTTCAACAGTACTATGGACAGCCCAACACCGATGAGACACGCAACCCCGACAACGAGTCTGTTACCTGGCTCGTCCTCAACCAGAGGCCAGTCTCCTCTGCTATCGTTTCCTGCTCGTACCTCTTTGTCGCAACCTTTGCCACCACATGGGGTCCTGTGTCATGGACTTACCCTGCTGAGATCTTCCCGAGTAAGATTCGCGCCAAGGCCGTCTCTTTGTCCACTTCGACCAACTGGTTCTGGAACATGATTCTTGCTTTTGCCGTTCCCCCTCTGTGTAAGTCGAACCGCATGGCACCCCCCTCATAAGTAAGGACTAACAGACATTCAACAGTATGGAACATCAACTACAAGATGTATTATATCTTTGCGACATTCAATGCCCTGGCATTCCTTCACACCGCATTTTTCGCGCCCGAAACCAAGGGCTTCACACTTGAGGAGATGGACGATGTTTTCAACTCTGGTCTTCCAGCCTGGAAGACCCATCAGAAGAAATCTCGTCTTGATGACATCGAGCGAGAGATCGCCGCCGGCAATCTTAAGGTCTCTCGCCACGGCGCGGTTGCAAATGAGGATAACCATGAGGTCGTCGCCGAAACTGAGAAGAAGGGAACCGCTGTCTGAGCACTGCGGTAGAGTCCTGCTACTCGAGACTAAACGATAATACCCAGCAGGAGTTGTTGTGGGAGAAGATTGCTATGGAAAAACCCGAATTTGAAGCGAATGAAGCGGGGCGAATGCGCAAGATGGCAGATTAACTGATGAAGATGATACAACGACTGTTCATTTTGTCCAAAGACATTGACGATGGTGCGATAGATGTGAAAGCATGACGTAATTAAATGCCTTGACGACACAAGATGTAGAACGCGCTCTTCCGCTGCTCAATCCACAACTACGTCCCGAGGTCCTAAGATGCGCCGCGAACTTGTGAAAAAAGCTATTTTGGCAAATGATCCTTTGGAAGATATTCCTAGATTCGGTGACATACCCGGAAAATTGCAACGCCCTTTTTGACCGACTTGTTCTGTTGCCAGGGCTAGGTGGATAAAGGATATATAATTCAGTTTACTTTTCCATTCGTAACACGAAGAGTCCCAAGAAAACTGAAATTGTCAGTCAACCTGATTGACGTCTGTACGAAGAGATAGGGGTTAGGTGGCTTTGGTGTATATGAGATGATTCCAATGCCTGTTTCTAGAATTCAGTTCTGTTGTAGTTCAGGATGTGGTTAGTACCAGGCGGGGAAGTCTGACGTTTGATATGTATTCCGTTGGGAATCATCGAGGGATAGGAGGACGAAATACTTGAAGGCAGCGAGTGATGGTGTTATGGAAACTCGGAATTTGAATTATGAGATTACCCCGCTTGTCGAATCAATGCGCTATCCATCCTGGCAACTCCAGCCGGCTCGCTGTCTATGAGGTCGTTGGCTGTAAGCCGAGAAAAGGAATGACCGGCATGATTTGTCCTGGCAGTGACTAGTCTTCAGTTGACTCTTTCAATATATATCTGTCGAACATCTTGATTGCGAAGAAGCCAAGTGCTACACTGTCATATGCAGCTTCAGACGAGCCAAGCGATGTGTCATTTAAAACATCAAGTTCGATATCAATAGTCTGCAATGCCTGATCACGAATATCTAGCTTCAGAGATCGACCACGGGAGTGGTCATTGCATTCTCCGGATACACCAACGGCCCCATCGACATCGTCCCTGGCGCAGAAAGCACCAGATTCCCCTTTCCATCCTTCACATTCTCCACCTCCTTGCCCGGATCCAACGCGCTCGCCGTCTTATACAACCGCGCATCCAGCTTCCTCGTGCTCGGATCAAACTGCAGCGTCCACTCTTCCGCCTTCCGCCGACTCCCCCTCGCCAACTCATCCATTAACGCGCTCAGGTCCCGGTAGGGAACCATCTCCGTAAACCACGACGTCCACATCAACAGACCCCACTCCAACCCACGAAACCCGCCAATGCTGCCGTAGACTTCTTCCACCTCCCTACGAAGCAACCGTCGATCCTGGGCCGAGGCGTGGTCGTAGACCTCGAAGAAGGCGTCCTTGGCCTCGGATACGTATTTCGGCTCCACGAGCCAGAGGTCCCCTTCGTGCCCGCTCTCGCTGATGCAGATTACCCGCCGGAGGAGGTGCCACGCGATACAGCTACCGTCAGCGAGTCCCCGGGACGGCAGCAGCTCCAGCTGCATGCTGGCCGGAAGCTCGTCGTCTTGGACGGTGACTTTGGATAGCGGGGCTAGGATGCGGAGGTGCTGCGATGTATTCCACCACACCGGCCCCATCCCGTCTGTGACGCGGAAAAATGCCTTGTACTGATCCGGCAACGGGGCACTCAGCTCCAGCCTCCTCTCCAGATCCTGGATTTCCTGGTGAGAGGGGACTGGGTAGCGAAACAACGTCTCAGGACGAAAGATCTTGTCCTTATCAAGCTCCATCGGCCCCATAACCGTCCTCTCGACGAGCATATCATCCCGCCCGCGCAGTTCGTCGGGGGCATACGGCGCACATGATCTAGTGTTTTCGTCGATTGCGCGCGCGAGCTCGGCAATGGTGTACCCCTCATACGGTCGCACCGGGCTGCGCTCCAGTCGCTGTCGGAGCATCTCGCACCCGGCGTCTGCGACTTCGCGGACATGGGTGAGGTCGATCTCTAGGTGCTTGACGAGGGCGTTCTTGGAGGGATCCGTGAACCAGCCGTAACGCCATAGTTCGCGCATACTGCCTAGCATAGACATCTGGTCCTGTGCGGAATGGAGGGTCGCTATCGTTCTTCCCCATAGCTCGATGACGCTTTCTTCTTCTTCGCTTGCATGGGTGCTGCTTCCACAGCTGTCATTAACCCTTTCTTCATCCTCTTCGGCCTCGTCTGCAAGGAACTCGTCGACGAGGACCTCTTCCTCAGGTCGATACACATTCTCTTCCACCCTGCTACCACCACCATCATTGCTCGCCTCCCCACCATCCACCGCATCACGAAACAACCTCACAGAGAGATCAAGCGCCAACACCCGCCCCGTGGCCTTGACAACCTGATTCATCTGCCACGGCGCCAGCATGCGCTCCCAGAGACCCCAGAACCCGGCCAGGCGCATCGGGATCGGGCCGTGCGGGTT